ATTTAATGGTAATTCTAAGTTGGAATTCCCGGAAAAATAAAGGAATCGGAATTTCTTGGTAATATACACATCTACACATTGTGTCCTAATCATCTGTAAAGTTCGACTTAATTCCGTGCAGTGGTTTATGAGGAGTTGTGCTGACAAACTGTTTATATCTATATAAAAGGTATGGCCAAAAACCTAAGTTTTTAGTGTGGAAAGTCCAGGAAAAAATAAAGGAATCGGAATTTCCTGGTAATATGCACATCTACATATTGTGTCCTAAATATCTGCAAAGTTTAACGAAATTCTGTGCAGCGGTTTATGTGGAGTTGCGCTGACAAACTCTATAAAAGGTATGGCCAAAAATCTAAGTTTTTAGTGTGGAAATTCCCGGAAAAAATAATGGAATCGGAATTTCCTGGTAATATGCACATCTATATATTGTGTCCTAAATATCTACAAAGTTTAACGAAATTTTGTGCAGCCGTTTATGAGGAGTTGTGCTGACAAACTGTAAAGGTATGGCCAAAAACCTAAGTTTGTAGTGCGGAAAGTCCAGGAAAAAATAAAGGAATTGGAAATCCCTGGCAATATGCACATCTACATATTGTGTCCTAAATATCTGCAAAGTTTGACGAAATTCTGTGCAGCAGTTTATGAGGAGTTGCGCTAACAAACTGTTCATCTCTATATTCAAGGTATTGCCAAATGCATAAGTAAAAAAGTGCGGGAATTCCCGGAAAAAATAATGGAATCGGAATTTCCTAGTAATATGCACATCTACACATTGTGTCTTAAATACCTGCAAAGTTTGACGAAATTCTGTGCAGCGGTTTATGAGGAGTTGCGCTGACAAAAAAAGGACTGACTGACTGACTGACTGACGGGTCAAAAACATTATACCTCCCACAACTTGTTGCGTGGGGTATAAATATTGCAAAACGCAAATACAATTCATGGATGTTAATTTTAATTTTAGCCTTGATTGGTATTGATAATAAGTGTTTTCTTTAAATATCCACTGCCTTTTTAAAATAAAAAAAAAAACTGATAGACAGAATTTTGTATCTTAGTGTAGTCTACGTGTGTGCCAAATGATATTGAAATCAGACCAAAACTGTACGAGGAGTAGCATTTTAAAAGTATTACACAGAAATTTCTATTTTTAGTAATCACGGCAACATGGGCTGCTTCCTTTTACATTGTGGATTATTCCATGCTACACAATGATTATTATGTCAGAGATTTTCCTTTGCAACGTCCTCCACTGACAAACAGATGAAATGGTTGGGGAGTTTGTTTTGTTTGATCTTCCAGCACCAATCTACGATAAAATCATGCACCAATGTTTGCCTTTCATTTAATGTCTGAACCATGCTTTCGTACTTTCTTGGAGGAATATAGGTATCACACCGGTAATTGTTTTCACTATATAATTCTATATAGAATAAAAAAAATCGTTAAAAATAGGTATTTGTTTACATGAAAAAATATTTAGCAGGAGGTATTAAACATTACCTGTCACATTAGCTGACACCAAAAAACAGGGTACCTACACGGCATTTTCGGACTTTTTCCATCTGCAAACAGGGCTACCCTAAAATCCACGTGTTTTCACTGTGTTTATAAACACCTCGAGTGCACTACAGGAAGTACACTCCTATGCCATGAAAAAATAGTTCCTGTCAAAAACCTTTATTTATTCACAAAGTACATAAAATTTACTAGGCACATATACCAAAATTTGTAAAAATTGCTTGGAAGAAAATAGAAAAACGCCTCAAAGGGAAAGAAAATCAATTATATATATATATATATATGGAACTACATTTGAAATGTTCGTCGGAATACATAACGGACAAATGCTTATTTTGGTTTAATGAATCTTGAGAATTCTCTGACGAACCCACGTCTTGTGGTATAGCATTTGCTTCATCATCTTTCTACTTATCTGCCCGTGCAGCTAATGTATCCCATGCATGCCTTCATTTGAAGATTTGGGCTTGTAGATTTCCGATTGAATATTAGGAGGTTTTCATTGTCGGATGCATTTCCTTTGAATACATCTATATCGTTTTAAGAAATCACTTTTATTTCACCGTGGATAACATTTTTAAACAATTTCAAGCATTTTTTCTGTAATTTTCCTTCTAACTGAAATTGCGAAGCACTGCTCTAAGTGAGGTATTGTTCAGCAATGATTTCTAAGCTGCCTGTTCATTTCATCTCTGATTAGCTTGAATCTTTCCACTCCAATGAACTTTACATCTATCTATATAATGATTAAATATTCAGTGGAATGCCTATTCACAAGAGTTTAATATTACAAATATTAATTTGTAAAATGGTTCACACTGAACAACTGAAAAACTCAAACCAATCATGTGCACTTTGATACTTGAACTACAACAAAAGCAGATTACTTTGACATCAAACTCTTCCGACTGGTTTTTTGGTTGACAGGAAAAAGACCCCTCCCTGCTCAATGGTCCCTTCGGATGAGACCGTATAAACTGAGGTTCCAAATCTGACGAAGCAGTAGCATTTACTAGGTCAAAGGTTAAGGTCATAGCAGAATTATATGAACAATCTGAGACCAATATGTTAGAGGAACGGCGAAGAGTGAAAGAGAGGGAGAGTGAAGACCCTCTTCCGAAAGTCACATTCCATGTCTCCTCCGTTAAAGAGGATGAAGTCTTCGTTAGTAAAAATGTGATAAGAATTAGATAAATATAAATGAATGCTAGTATGCTAAATGGGTTTTTTATATGTTAGTCAGGGATTGTGGGTGGATTTTAGAATTTTGTGTATATTTAGCACGTATCAATGCTTGTTGATGATGCAGAAGTAGCAATATAATATTTTTAAGTCTAGCATTAAAAATATTCAATTATTGTATAAGTATTGTATATTTCAGTATTTTCTAAGTTCTTAGGCACAGAATCCAGCAAAATGGAACTTGCTTTAGTCTGCAAAGACAACATATTTCATAAGTACGTTCTACCAAATGTACAATTTCATCCCAAGGCAACAGCAGTCACTGGATCAGTGTGGATTAATTGCATGTAGGAAGTGGAGAGTTGTTCCATAAAAAAAAACCCGTTTGTTGTATCTAGTTACATGAACAAATGTTGGTCCAAGTTTGTGAAGTGGTAAGATTGCAATCATTTCATAAAGAGAGATGATTCAGACACCGACAAACTCGTGAACCCGATAGTAGAAAAATGAGGCACATTCAGCAACAGAGGATGTAAAAATTCTGCAGGCATTAGTATGGGCAGCGGAAAGGGCAAAAGTTACCATAATGGGAAAACAAACAATTATTTTAATTTCAATGACCATAAAAACTTAACAAATGATATACAATGCATAATCAATAGACCGTTTTGCAGAACAAAGATACATTAAAGCAAAATCAACGACCACGTATGTAACAAACATATATTGTTGATAGCAATTAATGTAATAGTTTGTTTTCTCATTATGGTAATTTTTGCCTTTTCCGCTGCCCATACATTAGTCAACCATCTCAAATTGAAGACACTCTTTCTAAACATAGTTTTGAACCAAATTTTGAAGAAAGTTCAAGTAATTCTAAGTTTAAGGCAGCTGAATGTTTTATCTCATCACACCTTTTGCATTTTTGGTCGTATGTTGAAAAAGGCATCAATCTGGTTTGAATTATAATTATTTGAAGCTGGTATTTTCAGAGAGTTGGGAAAATGATAGAGACGGAACGGTTCGAGTAACCCACACAAAATCTGTTAGTGCTAAAATTGTCGACCATTTTTGTATATTGTAAGATATATCTTATGTATTTTTAGGTCACCTGAGTAAACTCAGGTGACCTATTGCTATCCGTTTTCGTCCGTCGTCGTCCGTCGTGCGTTAACATTTGAACATTTTCAGCTTCTTCTCTGCAACCACTGAACCAATTTCAGCCAAATTTGGCACAAAGCATCTATGGGTAAAAGGGAACAAAAATTGTGAATTTCATGATCCCTGCCCCCCTGGGGCCTGAGGGGTGGGTCCAAAACCACTAAAATTAATGCAATCTTTAAAAATCTTCTTCTTTATTCCTGGACATGAAGCAGTCAAACTGTTTCCATGATTATAATCAGCATTGAGTCCTCTAACAAAATTGTTAAATTCATGGCCCTGGGGTCAGGGGTTCTAGTTCTAGGGTGGGGCTAAATAAGTAGGTAGTGAAAATGCATAATTTCTTTGAAAATCTTCTTCTCTGCTCCTGGGTATTAAATAAACCAACTAAGTACATAGTTATGATGAGCAAGAGTGCCTCTACCAAAATTGTGAATTTTATGGCCCCAGGGTCAGGGGTTCTGGTGTTAGGGCGGGGCTCTATTGATTATATAGTGAAAATACATGAATTCTTTGAAAATCTTCTCTGCTCCTGGGTATTAAATAAACTAACTAAGTACATAGTTATGATGAGCAAGAGTGCCTCTACCTAAATTGTGAATTTTATGGCCCCAGGGTCAGGGGTTCTTGTTTTAGGGTGGGGCTCTAATGATTATATAGCGAAATGCATGAATTCTTTGAACATCTTATCCTTTGCTCCTGGTAAATATGCTAATGATCTAATTACATATTTGTTGATATTGACCAGTAATTAATATTAGAGACGCTACGAGACAGACAACAAGCTGACGGAAGAACGACTTTATATAGAACTGAGCATGCGCACATAACACAAGTATGGAGAAACATCCATGACATAACATACATACGTAAAACATCAACATCCCCTTTTCTTTAAAGAGCTTAAACAATTCAGACATTCTTAAATGATAAATTGATTATATGGATTACATGGACATACATGGAGTACACTAAAACAGACTGAATTGACTAGAACACACTTGTAAGTTGTAACTGATTAGATTTGATCAACATTAGAAATAGACTATAATTCTAATAAAATTGTCTTTAAAATGATTCTTTGTTAATTTCTTAATTTTATCATAATTAATCAAGTATCAAAACATTCTGTACAGTCAATAACGCACATAGTCTTTGAGCTTTGCTGGTTCCCTTCGAGCTCTTGCTGATCGACGCAATGGAATAGGTTCAGGTACCATATCTGCTTGAGATTGTTGTACGGTCTCATCCAGTGATTCGGAATTGTCAAGCGGTGAGTTGGTCATAGTACTGGGGTTACGATCAACCAAATTTTCCTTTTCTATGCAAACACGTGGCTCATGATGAAAATCTGTCATACGCATATCGGAATTATCCTCTTGTGTAGATTCAACTGGTTGCTTCCTGCTTTCAAAACGCACTGGAGATTTGTCACGAATGACTACTTTCACTTTGGTTGGTCGAATATGCAGACGATTCCTGCGGTAAGTTGTACCATCCTCTGACTGAACTATGTAGGTTTGGTTGTGTAGACAGTCAACGATTTTACCAAGAATCCATTTCTCATTCGACTTCCTTTCAAAGAACACATTTTGGTTTTTCTTGAGTTGAGTTTTCTCATGTGCTGTTCGATCGTAATAGCGTTTCACTGACTTCTTCCGTTGTTGTCGTTTCCTGTTTGAGGAAGTCTTGTGTCGATCTAGCTTTGGAAGTTTCGTTCGCGTATGTCTCCCAAACATCATCTCGCAGGGACTAAGACCTGTGTCTTGTCTTGGCGTATTTCTCTGTTCTAACAGTGCCTCAAATTGGTCTGTTGATTCCTTGTCACATTTCATGATCAAGTGTTTCATAATCTTGACGGCGGACTCTGCCTTTCCATTGGCTCTCTGATGGTTTGGTGATGAAGTTACGTGCTTTATTCCCCATTCAGTGGTGAACTTCTTGAATTCGCTTGAAGTAAACTGGGGTCCTCCATCTGTGACAATTACCGACGGAATTCCAAAATGAGAGAATTGCTTCTTCAAGGTTTTGATTAACTTCACTGAAGTTGTAGTTGGCATGAGAGCAATGTCAATATAGTTGCTGAAATAATCAACACTGACAAGGTAAGTATGATTCTTGATTTGGAAGAAATATAATCCAATTTTGTTCCATGGTTTTGTTCCATCATCATGTTGAGTGAGTGGAGTTTTGCTCGGTCTAGGTTTCATCTCCTGACAGGCATAGCAATTGTCAGCTAACTGTTTTATATCACTTTGCATATTTGGCCAAAATACTGTTCCACGAGCTCGCCGGATCATGGAGTCATAGCCAAGGTGAGCTGAATGTAGTCGATGCTTCACATCAGACCTGAGAGACTTAGGAATCACAATAGCTTCACCCTTCACAACAATACCATTATAAACACTCAAAGTTTCACGGAGATCATAGTACTGTTTGACTGACTCTTCTACTAGGTTCTTTCTATCTGGCCATCCATCAGTGATGTTTGCAATCAAGCATTGCAATTCAGAGTCCATTTCTGTTGCCTTGCGAATTTCATCAAGTCGAACATCTGACAAGTCAGGATCCACACACACAGTCATGATTCTTGGACGATCATCAGTAGGAACTTCTATCGTCGCTCTGCTTAACATATCAGCTATGATAAGATCTTCACCTTTGACGAATTTGAACGTAATGTCATATCTATTCAGTTTCATCATAATATCCTGCAGTCTACGTGGGGCTGCTGATAAAGGTTTTCTTAGAATCGCCTCTAACGGTTTATGGTCATTCTCGATAACCACTTTTCGGCCATAGGTATACTGGTCGAACTTTTCGAGTCCAAATAGAATAGAAAGTGCCTCTTTCTCAATTTGGGCCCATTTCCGTTGTGCCATAGATAGTGAACGAGATGCATACTCGATTGGTTTTCCATTCTGTAGGAGAACAGCTCCAAGACCATCTTTGCTACTGTCTGTTTGTAACGTCAGCTCCAAATCTGGATTGAAGTAAGCAAGAACCGGAGTACAGGTAAGTTGCTTTTTGACATCGTTAAATGCCTTCTCACACTTCTTGGTCCACGTCCATGGTGTGTCTTTACGAGTGAGTGTTCTGAGTGGTTCAAGGGTTGTAGATAAACTCGGCAGAAATTTGGACATATACTGCACCATACCACAAAATCTTTTCACACCAGAAATATCTGTTGGGCTGGGCATGTCTATAATAGCCTTGACTTTTCCATCATCTGCCTTCACACCTTCACTTGTTATCTTGTGTCCATGAAACTTTATCTCACGCAGTCCAATCTCTTTCTTGTCATCATTCAGGATGATATTTGCTTGTTTACATCTCGAGTACAAGAGTTTCAGCTTCTCTGTGTTGTCTAGTTCAGCTTCTGGAATAGTATCGCCACAGCCTGTAACAATGATATCATCAGCTATGGTAAAAACGCCTTCAATGTCACCAAGAGCCTCAGTCAATTTTCTTTGGAAAATTTCACTGGAGACCTTCAGGCCAAATGGAAGTCTAGACCATCGGTATCTACCAAACGGTGTAATCATGGTTGTTAACATGCTTGACTTCTCATCCAGTTTTACATGCCAGTAGGCTTCTTTGACATCCAGTTTGCTGAACAACTTGGCTTTCTGAAGTTTAGGTAGTACGTCATCAAGTACCGGTAGTTTGTAATGTTCACGCAATAGTGCTGAGTTTAAAGCTTGCGGATCAAGACAAATTCTCAGTTTTCCATTCGCTTTGTGCACTACCGCCATCTGATTGACCCATTTTGTTGGTGTGGTTACTGGAACAAGAATTCCTCTCTTAACAAGGTTGTCAAGTTCTGTTTTCACATTGTCCTTAATAGCTAGTGGGAGTTTTCGACACGGTAGAGTTTTAGGTTGGATCTCACTATCGACCACAAGTGTAGCTTCTCCAAGGTCACCTAGTTCTGACGCTGACGTATCCACCTTTGAGATGAACTTCTCTTCATTCACAGTGATGAGATTCATTTTCTGGATCCCATGAAGTCCTAATAAACTCTGAAGTTTATTGCTAACAACAGCAAATGTCATATTCATCACTTCTTTAGTCTTTGGGTTTGTAACAGGTAGATCAACTTCTCCTAGGGTTTTCAAAGGTGCTGAGTCATATACACGAAGAGTTGATGCGGACGGGCGAACTTGATCCTTCCGAACATACTTCTTCTGTAAGGTGTTTATCTGTGCACCACTATCCAACTGAAATCGAACATCACAGTTGTTCAAACTCATGACAGCTGTTAAGGTAGTTTTGTTACAGTTAACAACGTTGAGCCAATATTCATCTTCATCAGACGAATCGCTATATTGTTTCCGGTCAACAAGGTTAATCTTCTTGCATTTCACACTGAAATGATTGCGTCCATGACATTTGTTACAGGTTTTTCCCCATGCCGGACAGGACTCTTTCTTCATTGGATGTTTGGTTCCACAGAATTTACACGACTTCTCCTTGTCCTGTGGTTTCTTGAATCCTTGTTTCTTATATGGAACTTTGTTCACAGTTTTTCGATGTGTCTGAGATTCGCTTACTTTGTGCACACTTGCATTGTTCTCTTTCTTCATCTCTTCAGCTTGTCGATTAGCCTGCTCATAGGACTGACAAATCTTAATTGCTTTCTTGAGGTCCAAATCATCATCCCTCAATAGGAGCTGCTGCATTTTTCCTGTGCAACTGAAAACAATCTTGTCTCTAATCATGCGATCCTCCTCTTTGAAATTGCAGGACGCTGCCTTTATACGCAATTCAGTGAGAAACTGGTCAAAAGGTTCGAAATACTTTGTACTCCAAAATTTGTGCGATTCCGCGACTTCGTTTTTGCGAGGATTACAGTACTGTTCAATTTTGTTAAACACATCCTGAGGTTTGTTCTTATCCTCACCAGGTGCCCATTCAAAGTGATCATAAATTTTCAAAAGTCTCTCACCTCCACAATTGATTATCGTTGCAGTCTGAATTTCCTCCGACAATGCAGTAGTTCCGCTCGCTATCAGATAAATTTCCACTTGCCGTTTCCAAGACTTATAGTTTTCCGACACATTACCAGTAAGAAGGTTCAATTCCGGTGGTAGTCGTAAGTTTGGATTGATCAAAGCTCTCGGAGTAGCTTGGTGCTCTTGTGCGGCTTCCTCATTCTCGTCAGGGGGCGCCATACTTTTATATCGGTCACACGTGGAGTGGTAATTTGTATCAAATTTCACTGATACTTACACGTTTCAAGTAGAAAACGTATCAAACTAAGTTGTTTCAGTTGTGTGAAACTACTTTCACCGCTGCCACCATGTTGATATTGACCAGTAATTAATATTAGAGACGCTTCGAGACAGACAACAAGCTGACGGAAGAACGACTTTATATAGAACTGAGCATGCGCACATAACACAAGTATGGAGAAACATTCATGACATAACAAACATACGTAAAACATCAACAATATTTAAGGCCAGGATTTATTTTATTTTCAGTTTTACAGACCCTCCGCTCAAGATTTTGAATTTTCAAAAAAAAATTAAACAATTTTTTTCTTTCCGATGTGAAATTTGAGTCGGGATCGAGATTTCAAAGTTACGAACTCGCACTTCCGGTTTTACGATGAAACGGCGGGTAAATAAAGCTAGATCTGAGAAGATAGCTTGGTTTAGTGTAAAATTCATCGATAAGAGTGCCATTCAAAACGTTTGAACTGTTCATAGGACAAATAAAATGCTGACGACTTTGTTGCACAATGACATGCTGGTGAGATAATTATGTATTCGTTTCAAAAGTAACTGTAAATTATTTTCCTCCCCCAGGTTTTAACTGCCCGTGGTAGCTATTGCATATTGCCAGGGACATTGTTTAGGTCTCTGTTATAGCTTACAGTCTAAGCATCATTCTTCAGAAAAGGGTTGCTTATGCATCAGATGTAATGAATAAAACTATGGGAGAAGTGAAGTCCATTTGAGGAAGAAATAAACAATAACCTGAAGAAATTAAAAAAAATTCAACTATTAAAAGGCAAGAATATACAAATATATACAGGCATGTAGTATCATTTGTATCAGCCAGAAAAATTATTTTACACTTAATTGAAAAAATGTTGACCCTACTCCCCAATACTTCCTGTCTGTTTTATGATAGAAATTACAATTTTAGGCATCAAGTAAATTTTAGAACAATGTCTACACATTCACCTAACACATATTAAAAAAATGAAGATATATTGAAAGACTTTTAAAGAATTGATTTTTTAAAATATATTTTGATCGACATCACATAATTTATATAACTGGCCCAAACTGGCAGATGATGAAATAAGCAATTAAATGTTCTACTTTCCTATTTGTAAGCATTATGTGTCCAGTGGTAAGGAGCCTATTAGGATAGCATAAAAAAAAGAATGTACAAATTTTAATAATTGATTTATCAAAAAAAAAATTTTTATTTCCTTCTCCTTTGGGACTTTTTTATTCTCATGTTCATAACTAAACCTAAACATAAAAAAAATGCTGGCCTTATAATGAAGAAAGGGGCCTCTTTCAAAATAGATAATTTCAGGGCTGCTGGGTCAGGGGTACCAGGGGGGTACTCTGACTAAAAATAAATTAATGCTTTGAAATCTGCCCTTTGATAAGCAATGGTGCCTCTTTCAAAATTTGTGAATTTCATGGCTTTTGGATTAAAACACAAACCAAATACAATCGCTGGGAAGTTGTTACATGATACTCAGGTGACCTGTAAGGCCTGTGGGCCTCTTGTTCATTGATACATGTATATCAAAACCTTTCATGATTTTCCAAAGTCATCTTATATATCCTCGTCTTGAGTGTTTTCGATACAACATTTTAGAAAATTTCTATCTATTTCTTATCCTTTCTTTTTGATTGATTGTGTGTCGTTTCACGTCCTTCTCGAGAATTTTTCACTAAAATGGAGATGCCACAGAAAATATGATCTATGCTTGGCACTCGGGGACATTGAGCAGAAAGGGATCTTTATCGTGCCAGCACCTACTACAACTGCGGGGCTTCGGATTGAAGTTCTCATCCGTTGGACCAGTAACTACATTACATCAGTGATCCTCAAACCCATATTGTGAGAATCGACTCTAGAGCAGACCAACCACTGCATCACGCGGGTGACTAAATGCAACAGAATATAGGGTATAAATTGAGCTTTCTTCGCCATTCAATTGCAATCCGGTGCGAAGATTCAGAAGGAATCAAAATACATTTTCATTTGCACATCACATGACATATATATATACATATATAAAGTATCACTAAAATCTTTGATAAAAAAAAATTCAAAAATATGAATGTTGCATACAATAGAGATACGGATTATAGCAAGACTGAATAAAGATGGACACTTTGATAATGACAGACATTCATTAGAAAATTGAAAGCTGATTATGCACATGGTATGCTCGAAAACAAACACCCTGACAAAGATGAATAATACACCTGTCACAACCATAAGTAACATCTTTCCTCTTGCTCTCTTTTGCACACCATTTACATCGTCCACGAGGTCTGTCCAACTTTATGTTCCAATGCTGACTTGAACCTGCTGCTGTAATTAGCTGCACTCCAGAATATCTTGGCTGCTCCCTGTTAGAAAAATCTGCAAATATGACTCATGGCAACATCAGTTTGAAGATCACCGAGAGATTAATGCTTTCTTCCATAGTAGGATTGATTGATTGTATACTTTTTAACGTCCCTCTCAAGAATTTTTCACTCATATGGAGACGCCACTACTTGCCGGTGGAGGGCTACAAATTTTGTCCTATGCTCGGCACTCAGGGCCTTTGAGCAGTGAGGGATCTTTTTCGTGCCAGCACCTACTGCGATACGGGGCCTCGGTTTATAGGGTCTCATCCGAAGGACCGGTCTCCACGTCCCGCAGTGGGATTCGAACCCGCGACGTAAGGATTGACTCTTTACTTCGCGACTCTAGAGCAGACGCTCTAACCACTGCGCCACGCGGGCGACCTTCCATAGTAGGAACGTGTTGACCAGGGCCACTTACAGTATGAAATTCATGAAATGCTGAATTTGTCTTTGAAGAACATCCCAGACATGTTCAATAGGATTGCGGTCTGGTGACTTCGAGGGCCACCACATTATATAGATAGTCTCTGTCTCAAGGTACTGGTTCACTATGTTTGCTCTGTTAGGTCTGGTGTTATCATCCATTAAAACAAATTCTGTCCCTATTGCATCGGCAAATGTTCTCGCAATTGGCTGAAGGATATCATCTCTGTATCTGATACCGGTCAGTGCTCCATTTATGATGATGTAAAACTCCGTGGACCTCTGAATAGAAACGCCTCTCCACACCATAACAGAACCTCCACCAAAGCGATTATGTTGAGCCACAAAACAGTCACTAAAACGTTCATTCTTCTGTCTCCACACTCGTTACCTTCCATAATTAAAATCCACACAGAATTTTGATTCATCACATCAGTTTATTATAAATTTCAGAATTGAAATTTCTTTTACTTAACTACAGTATCTTATACATAACCCTTAACTTTTTTGGTTGAGTATATATCTGAATCCATGATGATTCTTCGTCAGCTTAAAAAATGTAGGGAAATTGCACAATCGATCCTGTCAATTCAAAGTTTCAAACAGAATGGTGGAGGAAAAGATTTTAGTTTAACTTTGTCTCCAGTCTCCATTTTCCAAAACTCGAACAACACCTTGGGTTCAGTTTAGTGGACAAAACATAAAAAAAATCTAAGTTCCGTTTCTTTTTCATTTAATGTATTCTCAAAATGTGAAATGAATGTTTATCCAATGTACTTTTTCTGTTCATTTATTAAATTGTTGTCATCAATGTCAGTAAAACAAAAGTCCTCTCTATACTTACCTTAGCAATGTACGGAAAATGAAATATTAGTCAGTCGGCGTGTATTGGCATCGAGGCATTATTGTCATACATGTATAGTAGTTTCGTTCATCTGTTGAAAGTTATAAGTCACTTTTGATCGTTGGGGGTGTGTTAGGAAAGATCTTATTTACCTTACTATCTACACAATAAACAATAAATTTTTATGTAAACAGTAAAAAAATCTGCTTACTCTCTACTCAATACTCAAAATATTTTTATATACCCCCGCTTTGAATGAGCCTTGTGTGTGTGTCTGTCTGTAACAAATTTTCATCGCAGATGCTGAAACTTTTAGCACTCTTTGTTTAGGCATGTCATATTGTGGGATTTCACTTTGTATGACCTAGCAATGACAGATACTCGATATTTTAGCGCAATAGCGCTCTTTGTTTAAGCCGTTCATTTTATCTCACTTGACATGAACGCTCAGGGACTAACGGATCAGAAAAGTGGCGACTTATATTACAGTATTTTGGAGAAGTGTAGGTTCTTAATTATTCAATTCTTGACCCCCGGGTTATGGGTGGAGTCATAATTGAGATACATGAAAGTTTTAGAACTATTTTCAAATCTACAAACCACAGACACTTGTTTCAAATACAGGCTATCCCCTACTTATTTTTACCACAAAGTACCTTTACTCATTTTCAGGCAACCCTACTTCAACCTCGTAGTTTATTAATATATGATAATATACTTTAAAATGACATCGATCCTTTCAAGAGAATTTTTTTCTTGTTAATTAATATCAATTCTCTGTAATTATCAAACAATATCAATAATGCTTGGCCACACTACATTTTCAATTTTAAGGAAACTTTTTGTGTGTACTCACAATGTCACATCATTAATGGTTTTATATTTTTTTATTTCAAAAAATGTCTCGTTGCCATGGTAACGGCACCTATTGTTTCCCCTGTAAATTCTTCCTAAAATTTGACCAAAAAACGTGATTTTGTAGGTTTTACTGAATAAAAATGAGCTTAAAAGAAACAAGAGAATGGTTAAATCTACTTTTGTTTCAAAACTGCCATTATTCCTCTTTAGTATAACAACATAATTTTTTTAAAAACTGTAATTCTACATAATGGCTTAACAACGCTTATCTTTGGGGGTTTTGGCATTTTGTCAAATTGAGAAAATTCCCATTTTAGACCCTTTTTCAAAGCGATTTTTTAATACTTTTGCACACTGATTTGAAATTCATGAAACATTGCATTGTATAGATGGTACATAAGTTAGTTTAAACACATTAAAATATTTATGGGAC